CTATTCATCCCTCCCTCTTCCCTAGTCCTTGGCACCCTCTGACCTTTTTACTATCTTTGTACTTGTTCTTTTTCCAGAATGTCATAGAGAAGGAGTCATACAGTGTGTAGCCTTTTCAGATTATCTTCTTCCACTTAGTGACATACTTATAAGATTCCTCCATGGCTTGATAGCTCATTTTTTAAAAACACTGAATATTACTCCATTGCCTACATGTATCACAGTTTGTTATCCATTTACCTACTAAGAGGACCTCTTGTTGCTTCTAAGTTTTAGCAATTCTGAATGACCAAGGCTGCTAAAACATCAGTGTACAGGGTTTTGTGTTTTTATTTCCATTGGATAAATGACAAGGAATATGATTCCTGGATCCAATTGTAAAAGTAAGTTTAGTTTTATAAGAAACTACCAAACTGCCCTAAGTCGCTGTACCATTTGCATTCTCACCAACAATGAACGCATGTTCCTGTTGCTTCACATCTTTGTGTGTGTGTGTGTTTACTGTGCATTTATTGTGACATTTATTAAGGCATATTTACCATCTCATATAATTTTTCCTGCTTTATATCTTTACCACATTTGCTATCATCAGGATTTTAGATTTTGGGCAGGGGAGTTATCTCTCTCTCTCTCTCTCTTTTTTGTGTTACCTGGGATCAAACTCAGGACCTTGAGCTTGCGAGGCAGGTGCAGTGCCACTGAGCTAAATTCCTGGCCCTTCTTATTGTTGTTTTAATTTACAATTCCCTAAAGACATAGGATGTCGAACATCTCATCTGCTTATTTGCCATTTGTGTATCTTCTTCGGTGAGATGTCTCTTTATGTCGTTTGCCCAGTTTAAAACTAGATTGTTCATTTTCCATTCATTGACTTTTAAGAGTCCTTGATATATTTTGGAATAATAGTCCTTTATGAGATTTGTCTTTTGCAAATATTTTCTATCATCTGTGGCACATGATAGGAGTACTACAGAATCAGCAAATGGTACGAATCAGGGCTTTTTCTCAGAGAGCCTGTTCTTAGACCTCTACCAACACACCACTGCCTTCAGCATCAACCATTTATAGAATGAACTGCTTGCCTTTGAACTATTCAGTCTTACGGTGGAGGGAGGCCAATGAATCACTGATATAAAATAGGGGTTTAAGTATTGGGATGGCAGAATAAGGTCAGCCATGACATTGGGATGGTTTCCAGAGGAGACCTTCAGCCCTGAGCTAGTTATTTCAAAGTAACAGTTGTCCTTATGCTGCCCAACCAGGTAGCTACTAGCCACATGTGTCCATGTGTCTGTTTTACTCTCTCACATCAGCCACTTTTCAAGTACTCAACACCCACATGTGGCTGGTGACTCCCACACTGCACAGAGCAGATACAGAACTTTTCCACTGTAGCAAAAGTGGGAGAAAGGCATTCCAGGCAAAGGTACAGAACACAGGAGACTCAGAGCTCGGAGGTGATGGCCTCATTCTGGTCCCACATTGAGTCCAGTGGGACTGAAGTAGAGAGCACTTGAGGGCAGAGACCTGGGACATGCTACTGAACAAACAGGCAGCTGCCAGATCACAAAATGTCTTTAGTGCCACACTAAGGAGTTTAAGCCCCAGCCTGAAAGCTATGGGGAGCCCCTGAAGGATTTGAACAAGATCTTAATGTCATTCTTTCTGCATGCTAATAAGAGCACTCTGGCAACTGTGGAGGAGGCCAGACAGGAGGACCACTACAGAATCTATTGCAGTCACCTAGGAGAGAAGTGGGAGAGGTGTAAAGTGAGGCAATGGCTATAGTAAAAACACAGAGAGGACAGAGTGTGGCCATGTGAAAGACCCCATGACTGTTTGAGGTGCTTTGTAAAAAAGCTAAATTAATGGGCAAACTAGAGCAGCGTCCAGACTATGCCACCGGATGTGTCACACACTGCTGGGGCCCCTTGTGTGCTATCTACTGTACAAATGAAGGGGTACCTGGGTGTACTTTTCAGCTGAAGGAGAAAGGGGCTCCAGGGAGAGGGGAGAGAGAGAAGAGAGATGGACAGGGCCATCTGCATCCCCTGTTCTGATGGAGAGAGAACTCTGCTGCAAAGGACACGAGCTGCTCATAGAAGACTGCAAGGAACCCTGGCCCCAGCAGTGCACTTCAGAATTGGGCATGGGCATTCTCTAGTCTACCCTTCCCCGACCTCCTGGCCACAGGGACCACAGCACAGATCTGTGTCCTGAGGAACAGGCCATTTCACCTGCAGAGAAATGTGATGCAGAGTAGACCCACAGCACAGGGAAGACGCCGTCAGCAAAGGATGTGTGGGCACTGGAGCACACCCAGAGTAGGAGACACGAGCTTACTGGTGTTTAAACACATGAGAGGGACCAGTCTCCCTCTCCTGGACTTTCAGAAGAACTAGAGGGGAATTGAAAGGCAGTGGCTAAAGTGACTGTAATGTGGACACTTCGTCAATATCACCATGTTTGCATCTATGGGTCTGTTAAAGCCCAAGATATTTGATTACAGAGTGGATGAGTAGATGAGATGTGGCAGACTTCACTTGTTTATTCATTAGACATGCATTTATCGAGCCTCTGTTCACTACGTACAGTTCGAGGTGCTGGTCATACAATGGTTTATAAAATGCAAACGATCCTTGCCCCGTGGTGCATACAGTCTGATAATCACATGACTCAGTTTAGCACCACCGTCAGTGTGTTTGCCATTCGGCAAAAGCATGAAATCTGTGAGCCGGTCTCTTAGGAGGGGTTATTTTAGATTAAGGGTCAGAGAGGGACTGTGTGAGGAGGTGACGTGCATAGCCCGACCTGAACTGGAGTTAGCAGATGAAGATCAGAGTGTTCCAGACAGAGGCATGTGCAGGCGTAGAAGATTCAGGGACAAGTGCTTGTCCATCTGTTGAGAGGAAGGCAGTGGGGAAAGGCTACGACAGTAGGGATGGGCACAAGGGGAAGCTACAGAGAGATGCCAGCTGGGGTCAGACCCCGCAGGAGTTCTTAGGACTTAGGGTTTGAGGCTAAGTGCAATTGTGTGTAGAATGTAATGAGGACAACAGGGAAGATGGGGAGCATTTGGAGGGCAGCACAACTGCCTGACAGTGTCATGAGGATGGCATGGCGGTGGTGGTGAAGAAGAAGAACTCAAGAAATATTTTTAAAAAGAACTTAGACTATAAAGATTTTTCTCACACCCCATGCTATAGTATAGAAACACAGACAGACATGTTGCCTTTGGACAAAGCAACCAGCAAATATTTTGATTGTGCCAGTCCATTCCTGATGTGGGCTCTTTTGCTTTGGGTTAGGAGAGATATTTTTTTTTTTTTTTTTTCTCTTGAGATGGGATTTGGCTATTTGCCCAAGGCTGGCCTTGAACTCTTGGGCTGAGGTGGTTTCCTGCCTCGGTTTTCTGAGTAGCTGGGACTATAGGCAGGTACCATGGTGCCCAGTGGGTTAGCAGAGATGTTGCAGGCACATCTTCGCCTAACTCACAGCCCCACATGATGGGCCTCAATGTTATGTTTAAAGATTTCCTGAGAAAGCTTTCACAACTTCTCCCGTAACCTCTGCACATGTTCAAAACACGTCATCACTATCAGGAAATTCCTGCTGTGTTTCAAATGAATGCCTGTCACTCAAAAAGTTTTTAATTCCTGATGCAGAGGAAGATGCAGAAAGTCACCAGGGCTGCCAAGTATAAAAGATGTCATGAAGATGGTTCCGAATTGTATCTGTACCAAAGCCAAAGTGGTTTCTTTGTTGGCAACAGAGGGATGACTGAATATCCCCAGAAAAGGAATCCAATTAGATGTGTGTGGCTGTGGTGTGGGCCCAGCAACAGCACTTGGGAGCTGGTTAGGAAGGCAGGATCGAGTCAGCAGCTGCAGTTTTTAGCAGGATCCCCGGGCAATTCGTAGGCACTTGAAAATTTGAGAAGCAGCCACTTTAGATCATTCTGAGGCTGTCTACAAGTGGGTGGGCAGTGGCAGGTGCCAGCTATTTGACACACAGTGAACTCTGGCAAGCAGTTAGGAGAACCTAACTGGTCCAACAGGAACTGGTTTTTCTCTGGAAGTTCCCTGCCTGGAAGTCACTAAGACCATTGCTGCCAAAATCAGAGATGATGTGCTGGTGGCCAGTTGTGCGGCTGATGAGAGGTGCGGGGTGGACACACCCTTGCTGCTGAGATGCTGATGGGCAGAAATTGAGGGAGGGGTGGGGGGTGAAGGAGCAACCCCTCACGGGCTGCTTCTACCACCTGGGCAGCAGCAGAGCTAAGGAGAGTTGAGCTTTCACCCTGTTCCACACAATGTGAACAGTTTGGTCTTCATCTTCTTAGCTCGGTCCCTAAGGAACCTGCTCTCCGTGGTGGCTTGGGTGATTCTATTCTTCCGTGTCCTTTTGAATTGAGCCATGTGGATGAGCAGGGCAAGGCAGTTTTAGCACCTCAGTCAAACTCCCACACACTCCCACAGCAGTCCCTCCTAGACTAGGATACCTGGCTCCAGGCATTCTGAGGGCTCTGCTCACACTGCTCACCTAAGCATTCAGCCTCTCCAGACCAAGGATCCTGCCACCACCCCCACCCCATGTCCTCCCCCCCACCCCTTGAGGGCTGTGCCACACAGACACTGAAGACAGCCTGAAAAAACAAGGGCCCTGCTTTGTTACTTCCTTCTTGCAAAGTGTTTCCAGGGAAAAGATCTAGACCAGAACCGAATCATTTGTCTCTGTCTTAACCAGGGCTGGTCCTCCCACAGAACCTGACAAGTGGATGAAGTTGGTGGGCTGTTTAAAGCAGATGGTTTGCAAATACTGTAAAATCAACATTACTTTTGG